GTTTTTCAACTAATATTATTGGCTCGATTATGTGACTTTATTCATTTATTGAAACTCATTTACATGCACACACTGTCCTAAGGGCAAAGCTGTACTGTACATGTAATCAAAATAATGTACAAAATGATTACTAAAATTTTTGTCTAGTGCAAACTATAGCAGGTTTACATTCAAATTAATCACTATCTTACAGGAATCCCAGCAATGTAAATTATATTCTCCTCGGTCATTTCAGTGGCATTTTATAATAGAAAAGCTTAGTCACTCATAAGGACTGATAAATAAACACACATTAGACCTTCGGCTCCAACTGTCAAACATATCACCTCCCTCTCGCCCAGCTAGGGTTTTAGGCTTACAGTTTTTATCTTATATAATATCACAGACTAAAGTTAGGAGAATATAATTTGCATTGCTGAAATCCTTGCAAGACAGTGAATAATTTGAATATAAACGTCGTCATATATTTTGCACAAGAGATAAAAATTAATCACCTGTATCACATTACAGTATAGTGATTTAAGAGTTCTAATGTATATGTACGTATATATACATATAGTGATTTAAGGGCGATTTGGGGGAATTTAAGGAGAGTTTTTGACTCTATGCTTTTTTGGGGCTTTACTTTGTATGTACTTTCCGTGAGCTGGAACCAATTACTCAATATCCCATTGAAACAATGGATTCGGTTAACGAACGACCTTCTGGAACGAATTGTGTTTGTTGACCGAAGGACCACTATATACGTACGTATATTAAAAAAATTCCCTGAAAATCTCTTGATTTTAAACCGTATTACTCATTAATGAGTAATCCATCATGCCACAAGTTGACTTGTGTTTCATGAACTATACACGTACCGAGTATGTGTAGTGATCTCTTGGTGTGGGGGGGGGGGGGTGTGCAGTCGGTATCTCCTACCATATGGACAGGACTGATTCCCGTCAGCTTACAGTTGCCATTTAGAGATTTTTACAAAGCAATTATCCTATAGTATTTGGGATGAAATGAGTGGGTATTAGAGCTTATTGTAGTGATTGTGTGTACATTAAAGCCTTGACTAATGATGGTTGTAGAAGTACAGTAGTAAAATTAATGTAAAAATTACTGTATGTAGCTTTTAATTAATGTTATGTAGTGTATGTACAATAGAAGTGACCATGCAGTCACACACACTTATTTGTATGGGGAGGGGAGTGGTGCGGTCAGTTTTACCCCCCCCACCCCATGGAGGACAGATTAATGCTTATAAAATGTCACTGACTTGACTTACGAGAATATACCGTAATTTGCATTGCTGGAATTCTTGTAAGATAGTGATTAATTTGAGTATAAACATAACTTATTTTGCACCACACACACACACACACACACACACACACACACACACACACACGGGAATTAAGACAACAAGCATCCAGTGAGGGCCTTGTTGTGTGACTGCATGGAGGCAACACTGGTGCATGTTACCACTCCTTTCCACTCCATCTCTCTGATCACCCACACCTTTCTGCTTTCTCACTCCATATTTTAAAATGTTATGTAATGTAATGTTGAAGGTATTCAACTTTGCTCATTTATACTTATACTTACCACAATCTCCCTAAAAATATTTTAGCTTTCGTGTTTATTAGTGGGTCATGAGACCCACTAATTCCCCCAGCCAAGAAAGGGTGACCTGACATTCCATCAGAAGGTCAGTAATATGAGACCACTAATCCCCCACCCTACCTCCACCTGACATTGTGTCAGGTCAGGTCCCCCCAAAACATACTTTAACTTTCATCTTTATTTTATAAAATTCTCTCGATTTTCAACCTCAGAAATTATTTTCCTAGCAAATTTCAATTCCGGCTATCTGAGATTTCCGTGTTTGAGGGATTCCAGTTAACGAAGATATTATAGCATACCTACATACATACATACATACATACATACATACATACGTGTTTTGAAATGTGTCGGTATGATTGGTTGGTTACATATGGGGATGAGATGTCACCGCTGCATTACCACCAAGAAGACAAAGTAGTGCATGCCTCAGGCACCTAAATATCTACCAAACAAAGCATTTGCACAAGAAATGATTATCATATCAGTACTCACTGATGAAAATATAGTAAGAAAATAAACATTAAAACAAATAGTGCATTGGCTGGTCAGTTGTCAGTAGGTACAGTTTATTGTATACATGTGTGTTTGTTCACACACATGGTGGTGACATGCATCCAGTGTGGCAGCGTTATGTTAGTGTTCAGGTGCAAATACTGTTTGCTTCCTCTCGCTTTCAGCTAATGCTGATGGTTAGCCCTCATAGCGAGCAAGGAAACAACTTGTATAAGTCTTCCCCTGTCAGTACACAGCCTCTTCATCATCAAGACTCCTGCTGTACCTCCTCGTGGCAACACACGGTAACTGTGTACCGTATGGGCCAAGGCTAGACCAGCAGGGGATCTCGCAGTAGCATTCAGCCTCAGAGGAACGGCACATAGGCCCACTGGCATGTGGACACGTCCTGGCGCCTACCAACCATTGCTCCACTGCCTTGCAGATTAACCATGGTAGGTATAAGACTACGGGAGTTAACCCTGAATGAAAAATCTGCGGTGGAGCCCCTCATCAGGCAGACATGCTTACAGAGCTCCAACAAGACCCCAACGGCAGTATAGGCAGAACAGGTGACCACCTCTATGGGAACCCAAAGACTACACCGGTGGACGAAGGCAATGCCTGATGAACAGGCTACTAAGGTGAAACCCAACAAACTGGGCTATCAGCAGTCCATTGCAACTCTCCCTCTTCCCGGTCATTGCAACACTTGCACCTCTGGATCAGGAAAAGGGAGAGCCAAGATGTGTGGTTGCAGTCTGCACTCCTGCCTCCTCACATAAATCAATTTCGCATGCAGCCATCATCCAGCTCATCATACCTCTCTTCATCATCAAAACCCCTATACCCCAAAATTCCTATGGTGATGGACGAGTGGCAACGGGGACAGGCAGAGATGACTGCCGGTAGTCTCTAGTCACAACTTTGCACATGGGCGGTACAGATAAGATGGTTGTTTATGCACTGGGATCTAGGCAGCAGTGCAATTCGGTCCTGTCTGTGCGACTGAGCAGCCCTTTCGAGGAGCCACTCTGCTCACCCCACATGGGGAGGGAGTTAGAAAGGTGCCCTAAACATAGCCTGTCTAAAGAACCAACCTCACTGGGCAACCACACCCAGTCAGGTCATCCTTATGCAGTTGAAAACACAATAATAATCACGTATGCAAACAAAAAGAAACCTCTTATGGTCGCTGCATGGAATTTCAGGACCCTTCTGGATACTGGCACAAATGAGCGTCCTGAAAGAATAACTGCCGTTGTGGCAAAAGAGTTAGCTATGTATGTATAACATCGACATAGCAGCCATTAGTGAGTCCCAGCTCCCAGACAGGGGTTAATTCACCAGTGATTCTCAAGTTGTTCAGGTTGTAGTGCTTCTTGAAATGCTCAAACCATTCTTACTGACATTAAAACCTTTCTTTGTGTTATCACCAGTGCCACCAGCACTAGTACCACAGGGCTTCACCACTCACTTCACATTCACTCACTTCCTCTTCATCACCTTCCCCAGCATGGAATCGGTCATACAGGACCTTGGCTTTGTCATGGATAAACTTCTGACTGAGAGGGATGTGGTGGCGGTTAAAGTCCTCAGTCCAGATGTTAATTGCTTTCTCCATCTTCACCATAGCTGTATCCCTCACATTAGTGGCTACCTTGGCAGAAGAGGGGGCACTTAGTACAATGGCATTACGAATCTTTCTCTCTTTCTCCTTGATGTAGTGCACAGTTCACTCAATAATGCCATACTCGCAGCCACATGCGGCAAAACTCTGGCCACTCCTAAGTTTGTCCAGCGGTTGTATCTTCTCCACGAGGGTCATGACCGTCTTTTTCTCTCTTCACTTGTTTGGGCGCCTTCCTGTGGCTGGATGAAGATGGTTGAGGGCGTTTGGGAGCCATCACAAGCACGAGGAGCACAGTTGCTAAGAGAGCAAAGTAGCACACGTGCGAGACGGACAAGTGTTTATCTTGGACTGAGGCGCAGTGCGCTTGGCCCAGCTGCCTGGGACAACAGAGACACCTTGCGGAACACCATAAAATTTGCAAGCTCCTCATCCTGGCGGAGAACATGCCGCCAACTTTAAAAGTACCTGCAGACATTCTTGGGCATATCCAGGTTGTCATCCGCAAATAATCAAAGGCTGCGAATTAAAAACCCACGAATTGTAAGGGTATGCTGTAGTTTATTTAGATGAGTAGACATCTGAAAAAGATGAAAGAGGAAGAGATAATATAGAGGGAGCATAAGTGCAATATAACATGTTTTGAGGAGAATGAGACTGCCCCCCCCCCCCCTCCCTTTAGGGAGGGATGGAACAATACATTATGAAAAAGCAGAGGAGAGGTATAAGGGGAGGAGAGAGGGCATAAGTGATATTTAGTGTGGCCAGCCAATCAGAGGACACTTTCCTTGAGGAGTAATACTTAGTAGATAATAAAAGAACTGATATAAGCAAATAGGTGTTTGATAACTAACAGAGCAAAACAGATGGAATTTGTAGTCCCAGAGTGAGTTATGAGATACATTATACATTTTTATGAGTATACTGTCTATAGAAGGTGATGGAGGATGTTACTACAAAGGGAGAAAGAGAGTGCACAGGGGGGCTAAAATGATAAAAAAGATAGGAAGACAGCCAGCATCCTGTTGAGTAAGAGTGGAGTGGTGCATGAGGCTTAGGTCTGAAAAGTCCGATAGAACAATGGTCAGACAGGATGAATGTAAGGCTGTTTTGTTATTGCAGCTACCACCAGGGAAGGTCCTCAAGGGAACAAAGCTTCAGTGACATCAATGGAATAGTTATATAGAAAATACATTGATTTGTTTTTTCTTCATTTTGTATAGAGAAAAATTATGTAATGTAAACTTTTTCCTTATATTTTCAGATTGCTGAGGAGCAGATATCTGTTGATGATCCACAGAGGATTGAAAATCTTGCTAAAGATGTGGGCAAGGTTAGTGCTGCTGACAGGACAATGTATAATTGTAAAGTAAGGAAGAAGAAAGAAGGATCAGTAGTATGGTCACATGGGTTAGATAATGGCAGTGAAACAGGCAAGAGGGCACGTTAGTTGACTTTTGTCAGGATAACTAGATGATTATTGCAAATTAATGGGTTTCTCATCACCCAAAGTACCTTTATACATGGTTAATGTTCATTGATAAAGAAAATATGTTGTCTGATATCAAATATATTTAATTATACAGTAAAATCCCCGAGTACCTGACTAATTATGCCACAGCGATGCCATTAATCAGATGGAATTAGTTATTTAGATGTCCATATCAGCAGGGAGGCACAACAACCAGCATATCACACTAACACAGATTGGCTTATTTAAGCTCATAATAAATTAGTTCAATTAAGATAATCATACTTATGACAGACTTTCAGTAAATTCAGTTGTTTTTTATATAAAATGTTAATAGATGTAGGTATGAAGGTAAAGTTCTAGATTCTGGAAGCTTTCAGAGCTGCAACGATTTTTGAAGGTGATGGCATTTATGCTGTGTGAAATAAAGTGAATTATGTGGATGTGTATAGTATAGCTCTGGCAATGAAGTGGATATGTTCATGACATCCACTTTATTCTCGGGAACTTTGTTGTCATAGGAAGACTTAACAATGAATAAAAGGGAATAGCTTCTAACTCTTCCTTATTCTGTGTTTTACATATGCCAAAAATTGCTATAATAAACAATGATAATAATACATAGCACATCTTAAAATACAATAGCACATATTTTAAGTACAAAAAAGCCTTTTTTTCTGCCCTTGAACCATTCGATGGGTAATGCCAAGAGTGGACTAGTTCAGCCAGCCAGACACCAGCTGACTTGAGAGAAGCTTTGCTGCTATACCATGTATGCCGTGACATATGAAGCACCCATACATATGTTCTCCCACACAGAATACTGTTCACATTCATGCTCTTCATATCTTATTTTCATGTCACATGAGACCACTGAAATGATTTTGCCACAACTTTTACTGTTTTATGGTAAGGTGCTTTCTGCTCTTTGGAGCCTTAACCGAACATACTTGCTTGGACATTGTTCTCACAATGACAGTGTGTGTTTTTTATATGTCATAAGAGAACAGGCCTGCACAGCATGGCTGTTTTGTTGTGATGCGGACGGGACCACGCAGTCAACACAGCATTGCTCCACAACAATAACAATGACACACAAGATATTTTTTCGAATATCAACCAAATTTAAGTTTCAGTACTCAGGATTTTTTCTGTACAGTATTGCATTTCAAGACAAATTCAAGTACAGTACTAAATAACCCAAATTAAGGCCTACATAGATAGTGAAACAGTTTAATTTTACCAAGAAAAATACAAATACAGATAAGATGATAATAATAACAATATTGATATGGCTGAGCCAATTGAGGCCATGTCTCAGTAACTAGTTTGGTGAGGCTAAAATTAAAAACAGTAAAAGAAAAAAGTGTGTAATCAAAGAGGATTTAGGGCAGCTGACAACAGAGATATGGAGAAAATTTAAAACCTAGAGAGATTTTTGGTATTGATAGAACTAGAAGAAAGATTTGAAGAACAAGAATAATCATGAAATAATTTCAAAGAAAAAATTTTTGAGCATGGAGAAAATTTATAGGAGAAATGAGAACTATATACCCTGTACCTGTATGTGTGTGTATAGTACAAGTTTTTAACATCAATTTTATAGGGAAAAGTTAGGGAGGAGGATCGACTTAGTTGGGAATAATACTTTCAAGGTGTGTGTTTTGCTCTTTTTTTCTCCATCAATGAAAATGAAAGTCTGTCAACACTGCACTTTCCTGTCGTGCCTAGTGCAGCCATTTCATTAACACAAACATTGTCAGAGGCATTGAAATTTAATTTTGGTTGTTTTTCTTGAATGAATCATCTCAAATTTTTGTCTGAATTAATTTGACAAGATATAATATGAATACTGCCTCTTGCCAATACCAGACCACAACAAGTGAATTACTTATTATACTGTAGTTATGAATGCATTATCTGAATAAAATATTGATAGTAATAGATAACAATGAAAACTTTGTCAATGACATTCTTTCTTCTCACCTCATAAAATTGTTTCTGCTTTAGTTGTGTTTATAATCTGTTGGACATTTAATTCTTCTGTTTTTGTATTTGGTGAACGTGTAATTAGTATTGATCACTGTTTCAGGTTATAAGCAACAAGCTGTCATTTGTCCAACTCCGCTCCTTTTTGTCAAGTGTGGTGGTAGGACTGCAGGACCGGCTGGGTGAGTCTTCAGCAGGAGTAGCTCTTGTCTTAACCACAGTCTTCACTCTTCGTGGTCACCAACTTCATCAGCACATTAAGGAATTATTAGGTAAAGTTTTTTTTATACCATTTTCTAGTTGCAATTAAAAAAGTATATTTTTGTTTTTACAAATAAAGACAGATACCTGTATCATTACCAGACCTGTTAGGGGAAAATAAGAAAGATTAAGCTTTGAAATTAGAAGGGGAGAGTTAATAAGGAGAGCAGACAAACTCAATCATATCATTTAGATATGTGGAGCAGTGCTCCATACAGGGATGAGTTAATCTATTGTATAAGTTAGAATTGTTGCTCAGAAGAAATGAATTCTCAAGATCTGAACACGTCACGTATTTCTTTTATTCATATTTATCTATTTGAGATACTAGATGGAATTTCAGAGATAGCTTAAAGATTAGAAATAAAGCAAGAGTGAGATTGAGCACGAAAAGATGAAGGAGATTCGAAGAGGCACAAGAATGCTAATTTGAATCACCACCATAAGGGTGAATTAGATTACTAGTAGAGGAAAGAACATTATTGAAGAAAAGAAGGAAGAGGGTAGGAGAATGAACAGAGCATTGAACAACAGCATTTATGAGGAAAGAACAAGTTAATCAATAATGGCAATTTAAATGGAACAATTATAATGTTAAACATAAATGAGAGAACAGTTTGAAGAAAGCCAATAAAAAGAAGCTTGGGCTTTTGAAATATTTAAGACTATTATATAAGATTCCCAAAAATTACTCGGAAAGGATGTCCAGAGATTAGTGATATACCGGTAGATAATATCATCAGTGTATTTGCTTGGTGAAAACCTTACTGTTGGACAGCTGGAAGATAAAGAGAAATTCAAAGACATTAGAGACAATTGAAGTCAGAACAATAAGTCAGAAAGATTAGAATGGTCTCTGTCTTTGGGATGGACCTAACCAAGGATTCTGGCACTATAGAAGAATTGCTCACGCAATACCAATTTTTTTATATATATACTCCCACGACGGTGGCATCGCCAAACAGCCGCAAAGTAAAAACTACATTAAGCCCATTACACCTTAACTGATATTATGCAATACCACCAGATTATTCAATAAAATTGATTTATTTACAGTAAACCCTCGCACTTCTGGACATTTAGGGGGGAGAGGGTGTCTGGATGTGGCAATTGTCCAGATGAACTGAGAGACAAATATGTGTGTTTACTTAATCTTATGGGGAAAATTAGGATATGTTACACATCTACTAAAGTCAACAGAAATGCTATAAAAATTGTGGAAAAATCATTACAATACTCTAATGTGAATTATAAATAAATATAATATAATATAAAACTATAAAATATAATATAAAACTATAAACTAAAACATATGAAGAGCGTGGGTGTTTGTGTGGAAAGTGAAAGTGAGTGGAGTGGCTGACTCACCACCCAGCCGCATCCCATAACGTCACATACAGAGCAGTATATATACACACAAACACACAGACATACACTGTGCCATGTTTCACAACCATTTCTGGAGCATTAATGTTATAAAAGTTGTAGAAAAATCATTAAAATACTCCAATGTGGCTTAGAAATAAAGAAAATATAATGTAACTATAAAATAAGAAAAAGATAAACATGGATGTGTGTGAGTGGGTGTAAAGTGAGCCACCTGATAACTGAGGACGTGAGGATCCCTCCCTCCCTCAATGTGACGTCACAGGCACACAATCATTTATGTAGAAGTTTGGTGTTAATACTGTACAGTAAAACCAAAAATAAGTACCGTATTTTATGGCAGGGAGTATTTAGGAAAAAAAATTGTGTGTATTTTCCTCCTGTATTTCTTAAAATGATATATACAGTACCAGGAAATGTGAGGAATAAATAAAAATAATGCCAATAAATAAGTTACAACAAAAAATACTTAATTGCCATACCAGTTAATAAAAGCCAAATGAAAGTTTAATACAGTTGCCATTTGCATACACTCCCTGTTTTACCATAGTAATGAAGATCAGCTGGGACGTTATTTCCCTAGCAAGGCCCCTCCCCCTTACACCCTGCGACCATCTTTCCCTCCCTCCCTCACTCGGCCAGCTAATTCGTGCGCAAAGAAAAGTGTATTCACTTTATGTGTTTGCCCTTAGGACAATTATTTCTGCTACCTTTTTTCACAATACAGTGCGTATGTATGTAGGATTGTGCGTGCATGTAACTGAGGAAAAATATATGAAGAAAGTTATGTATACTAGTTGAAAAACAACCCTAACACCACAGCTTGGCTAAGTAGCCTGGTGGTTACAGTGATGAGTCTAACTTGGCTACAATGCCGTAATTAATCACTATTAAGCACTATTATATCAGTAAACACTCACAATAACAGTAAATCCAGTGAAATATGGCAGGGAGGGAGTAGAGTTACAACTACAGACGACGCTGTAACTAGTGGTCACTCACCTGCTCTCAGGCTCCCATTGCCAGGTGTATGATCGAAATACGTATGGGAGAAATACACATCTTGTAGTCTAATTTGAAAACGGTGACGGGCACAGTGATAAACAAATTATATAAACCATGCATTTACCTACAGTACCATAATAAGAAACATTGTATCATTACTAGAGTGAATGAAATAATATTCCCCAAAACAACAATTGATAACTCTTGGTCCCTTGAAATTTTGCGTACATTTCATCTGATGTCCTACTTTTAAAAAAAAAATTTATTATTTAAAAAAAAAATACTGTATTGTTAAACCAGTAAATAAAAGCCAAATGAAAGTTTAACACAGTTGCCATTTGCATACACTCCCTGTTTCACCATAGTAATGAAGATCAGCTGGGATGCCAATTCCATAGCAATGTCTTCCCCTCCCTCCATCCCTCCCTCAGCCAGCTAACTCATGTGCAAATTCCGTTTTTGTGTTTTCCCTTAGAATAATTATTTCTTTAATATTGTCACTATATGTATGTAGTATGGTGTGTACATGTAACTTGAGTATAAAAAATAAGAAAGTTAAATATATCGACCCGTCAATACGAGTTGAAAAGCAACCATAACACCTCACAGCTTGGACCAGCAGATGATGTGGACTGGGTTCATTTTAGCAGTGGGGGAGTAAACATGGCATATGGGCTGAGAGAAAGAGACCAGATAGGAATTTCCCACATCCAGATGTCGATCCGGACCAACCGAAATCTGGATCTAACAGCAACTGATTTTCTTTAACCAGTTCAGATAAGCAGTGTTATCTCCACCCCTTCCCCCCCATAGTTTCACTTTTTTCGGACTTTCACATTTTTCTCGGAGTGGGGTCTTCCCCAATTAATCCGATTTATCGAGGTTCTAATCTGTTTATTTATTTATTTATTGTTTATTTATTTTTTAACTAAACAGATCTCTTTGTTTCAGATTCCATATACAATAGGCTAGAAAAAGTTACCCATAAAGAGACAAGACAGAGATCAGTGAAAGCTCTTGCCCGTCTGTCTTCCCACAACCTGAGTCTGGTGCTAGATACTATACTGACATATCCTCTCCCATATGAAAGGTCAGTTTATTGCCATATTTATTTCTTTTGAATTTTAATGATCTTACAAACTGGAAAACAGTTGAAGAATACTGTAAAGTCGAAGTTTGCAGGTATAAATAGATGAAAAATAACATACTCAGTGATATCCCCGCCAGCCGGAACAATTGGTTCAGAGCACTTCCGGGGATGAGAGTTTTCCGGATAACCAGACGACTTTCTCAAACCCGGAAAAATCCCCCATCCCCGGAAATATTTTCGGTTACTGGAAAAACTTTCCAAGTGTCTAAACTATGCATCTTGCACAGACAAACACTAGCCCACATCCTCATAATATTTCTGTGTGCTGGAGAGTTTTCCAAGAGTCTAAACTAAAAATCTAAAAATCTATATGATTTGGTCATGAATGAAGCTGTCTTAGAGCACAGACTGGTATTTTCCACTCCCTTGGAGCTGTGGGGGATAAATGGATCATGTAACTGACCTGACCTGACACAATGTCAGGTGGAGGTGGGGTGGGGTATTGATGGTCTCATATTACTGACCTGATACAATGTCAGGTCACCCACTGTTGGGTGGAGGATTAGTAGGACTCATGACCTGAAGATGTCTTGAATAAACATGAAAGCTAAAATACAGTATTTTTTATACCTACACTTATCACATTGTATCCCTTCAACATTACGTTACATAAGATTTTAAAATGTTGAGTGAGAAGGCAGAAAGGTGTGGGTGATTAGAGAGGTGGAGTGGAAAGGAGTGGTAACATGCACCAGTGTTGCCAAGTGCTTAGCTCCTCAACAGCTGATCTTTAATTCACCACCACTTAGTTAGCCACGCATAAATTTATGTCATGCAATATGGGGGTGTTTGGGTGTGATGTTGTGGTATTAATTAATAAATAAGCAATATTTCATCGTCAATGACAGTCGTTTGAAGAATAGCAGCGTACTACAGTTGTCACTTGTGTTCATTAAACTACTGTCCAGTGATCCCTCGGTTAACGAAATTTCGGTTAATGAATTACCTTCCATAAGATTCTTCACTTCGGTTAACACAAAAATTTTGGTTAACGAATTCCTTACGAATTTTTCCCAACATGTTTTCGCCTGCTCACCAGCTGTAGTATTAGTCCGCCAATACAGTAATCGGTTTTAGGACTTAAATTCGTTACCATTTGAGTAAATATCAAGAAGGTTGTACTATTCAATAATTTTCCAAGTCTTATATTAAAGTTTTTAGTTGTTTTAACATTTCTTTAACATAATTGAAGTACAGGGAACTAGTTTTTAGAGCGCCAAACAGCCACTCAACACACCCAAAATGGCATCGGTGTGTGTCCCTGCTCTGTGGAGGAAGCTTCTTGCTTGAGACTTTCTTCAACATAAACTATTTTTACATTTTTACAGTACAATTATTGGTCATTCTGAAGTTTATTTTACATATTGACAATATATAATGCAGTGCAGTGTTGATCTAAAGAAAATAATCTTGAATTGCACCAAGTGAACTAAAATTTTATGGGTGAAATGGCGGCATGGGGTGACTTCTCTTCCACCCCAATGCCTTCTCTTCTCCCTTCTCCTCCACCCCCATTCTAATTCCCATCATCAACCAGGAGCCTTCTACATGCACAGCTCAAAGTAAGTGTACTTTACTGCATTTATTTTTAGTTTGTATGTAATTTTTCGTGAGCTGGAACCAATTAACCAAAAACCCATTGAAACAATGGTTTTGGTTAACGAACAACCTTCTGGAACAAATTGTGTTCGTTAACCGAGAGACCACTGTACTGTCATTAACAATACGATATTGTTTATTATTCATTAATTAATTCCCCAACACCACATCATACATAAAATCTTTTGTGTGAGACACTGCAAGTTGGAGGGAGGCAAGGTGCTGGCAGGGGGGAGGCGATACACACACCTCCAACCCACACTCTCCAACATTTAGTATTTTATATTCTCGTATGATCAGCCACTAATGGTGTATGTTTTATCACGGTTAATATAAAATATTGAACACATTAGAAAAAATACGAGGTATAATTATTAATTTGACATCAAAATTACATGACAAGTCGAATAATAAGGCAATTTTTTCACCCAGACCTCTCTACTGGGAGGAGAGTAGGTGGCGGGTAAGCTTAGCCATTGCCAAATTTACCAGTTTTTTTATTTAATCATTACAGTACTGATACATTACAAAAATATTGTACTTATTATTATATATGAAGGGTACAGGTATTAATAAGCACAGAATATTACAGTAAACATATCTTTATTAGTAAATAAAAAACAAAGTAAATTATTTTACAATGGTAATGGCAGGCATGGGGAGACGACAAGGAACCTTTTTAAGGGGTGTGCGGTTAGTTCCCCCCCTCCCTCCTCATACCTCCTCACCTTCTTACTCCTTAAGGAATTTTAAGTGAAAGAAAACATTATATAATTTGTATAATGAACATACTCATAAATTACCGACTCATGAATTATAGGAATACAATATGAATTATACTGTACAGTACAGTGGTCCCTCGGTTAACGAATGGTTCAGTTAACGAAATTTTGGTTAGCGAATTACCTTCCATAAGAATATTCAAGTCGGTTAACGAACAAAAATTTTATTAACGAAATCCTTACGTACATCACGTTTTGTTGTGAGCGTCAGCTCATGGTCTAGTCTGCCAATTCAGTAATCTGTTCTATGTTTACATTCGTTTCCAGCGGAGTAAACATCAAGAAAATTGTGCTCTTTAATATTTGTGCATTTTTTATATTAAAATTATTGGTCCTTCTAAAATTTAGCCATCCAAGCTCTGTCTACATAAAGTTTTTCAACTAATATCTTTGGCTCGATAATGTAACTTTATTCATTTATTGAAACTCATTTACATGCATACACTGTCCTAAGGGCAAAGCTTTATTGTACATGTAATCAAAATAATGTACAAAATGAATACTAAAATTTTTGTCTAGTGTAAACTTTGGCATGTTTACGTTCAAATTAATCACGATCATATAAGAATTCCAGCAATGTAAATTATATTCTCCCAGGTCACTTCTATGAAATTTTATAAGCAAAAAACAAAAACTCAATCTAAAGGAAATAAATAAACAAATAAATTCTTCACTAGAACTTCGGCACTAACTGTCAAACATATCACTGTCACCCCTTCCTCCCATCTTCCCAGCCAGGGTTTGGTGGTTTTAGGCTTTAAGTTTTTATCTTATATAATATCACATACTCAAGTTAGGAGAATATAATTTGCATTGCTGGAATCCTTGCAAGACAGCGAATAATTTGAATATAAACCTCATATATTTTGCACAAGAGATTAAAATTAATCACCAGTATCACATTGCAGTAGTGATTTAAGAGTAAGAGTGTATATGTACGTATATATATATATATATATATATATATATATATATATATATATATATATATATATATATATATATATATATATATATATATATATATATATATATATACATACAGTTGTACCCCACTTAACGCGGTCAATTGAACCCAGAGGGTCCCGCCTTAAGTGAAAACCGCGTTAAGTGAATAACAGAACATATGGGATTAATTCCAATAGAACCCAGCCCGACCCCCAAACTCCACTTTTTGACGATAAATAACTATGTTGTAGTAAAATAACATCTTAATTTTATGATGGTACATGCACACAATTAATACTTAAGAGAAATACAGTCGCTGTTAATGTCCATTCAAATAATGGACTCAACCTCTCCCTCACACTACAGTACACAGCAGTACAGATGGTCGGTGTCCCTCCTCCCCACACCCCACCAACCGCCCCATGAGATTTGGATAACCTCAACTAAAGTTAGAAAATATAATTGATATTGCTGATTCCTTGTAAGACCAGGAATATTTGAATATAAATGTCATATATTTTTCACAAAAGATAACATATTTACTCAGATTAAACATTTTATCTAAAAATTGTATGTTTAATGCAAAAATATGTTGTTTATATTCAAAATGATCACCAATTATAAGAATTCCAGCAATGTAAATTATATTCTGCGATAATTTGTATGAATTTTATGAGCTAAAACAAATATCTACAGTTAATAAAAAAAAATATATTCTTCAACACTATCTGTCAATCAAAGTACTCCTACCTGCTCTTCCAACCGCGGGTCAGTCCCAACCCTCCCCCAACCAACAATCTCCATTCAGTATTAAATAATACCTCAGATTAAGTTAGGATAATATATTGACATTGCGGATTCTGTAAGACCAGAATATTTTAATATAAATGTCATATATTTTGGACAAAAGATAACATACTTACTCAGATTAAACATTTTATCTAAAATTGTATGTTTAATGCAAAAAATATGTTGTTTATATTCAAAATGATCACCAAATTATAAGAATTCCAGCAGTAAATTATATTCTGACCGGTAATTTGTATGAATTTTATGAGCTAAACAAATATCTTCAGTTAAAAAAATAATTCTTCACTGGTAACAGATGGTCCTTCGGTTGTCCTCCTCTCCACCAACCGTCCCAAGGAGATGTGTGATAACCACTAAATTTTAATAAATAATACCTCAAACTAAAGTTAGATATAATTGACATTGCTGGATTCCTTGAAGACCAGGAATATTTTGAATATAAATGTCATATATTTTGGACAAAGATAACATATTATCAGATTAAACATTTTATCTAAAATTGTATGTTTAATGCAAAAAATATGTTGTTTATATTCAAAATGATCACCAAATTATAAAATTCAGCAATGTAAACTATTCTGCTGGGTATTTGTGAATTTATGAGCTAAAACAGGCAGTCAGGCAGGGTGGCGGTGGGGGTGGTGCGAATCTAAAAATAGCTCGGGCGGACACTCCCGGCGTTGCTGTGAAAAAATCCGCTTAAGTGAAAGTTCAGCTTGCGCAAGGCACGCGTATATCGACGTTAAGTGAAAGCGTTAAGCGGGTAATACTGTATGTATGTATGTATGTATATGTATGTATGTATGTATGTATGTATGTATGTATGTATGTATGTATGTATGTATGTATGTATGTATGTATGTATGTATGTATGTATGTATGTATGTATGTATGTATGTATGTATGTATTGTATTATATATATATATATATATATATATATATATATATATATATATATATATATATATATATATATATATATATATATATATATATATATATATATAGTGGTTCCTCGGTTAACGAGCACAATTCGTTCCAGAAGGTTGTTCGTTAACCGAAACTATTGTTTCAATGGGTTTTTGGGTAATTGGTTCCAGCTCACCGAAAATTGCCTAAAATCAACAAAAAAGGCAGTAAAGTACACTTACTTTGAGGTGTGTATGTAGAAGGCTCCTGGATGATGATGATGAAGGGAATTAGAATGGGGGTGGAGGAGAAGGGAGAAGAGAAGGCATTGGGGTGGAAGAGAAGTCACCCCATGGTGCCATTTCACCCATAAAATTTTAGTTTTCTTGGTGTAATTCAAGATTATTTTCTTTAAATCAACACTGCACTGCATTATATATTGTCAATATGGAAAATAAATTTCAAATTGACCAATGAAGTCCAAGGTCATCCAAGAGTTGGAGAAAGGAACATGACAGGTTGATTTGGCACGCCAGCGTGGTGTGAACAAATCTACGATCTGGACGATAAAGAAGGATGCAGCGAAGATAAAGGAGCACATGAACATCACAAAGTCTACAGGTGCTTCTATGATCAAGTATTTCCACAACCAGGTGCTTCTCAAGACGGAAAAATTACTTGTGAGCTACTTGGTGCGTCAGGCGCGACGGAACATGGCGGTGGACACGCGCTCAGTGAACTGTATGCTGCAGTGTCACGAAAGATGGGAATTACAGAGCCCAAACCCTTTAATGCTTCCTCTGGGTGGTTACAGAGGTTTAAGAAGAGGAACAAGATCACCAATATCAACATTGGTGGTGAAGAAGCTAGTGCTGACCGTGTTGCGGCGAGGGAATTTCCTCCGTTTTTACGTGAGATTATGGAGGAAGGACAGTGCACCGACGACCAGGTGTTTAACATGGACGAATCTGGTCTTTTTTGGAAAAAGCTTCCTTCCAAGACCTTCGTTGTGAAGAATGCCAGCAAGATTTGGGGCCAGAAGTTGCAGAAGGAGCGCATCACCGTCCTGTTTACCACCAATGCCTCCGGTACCTGTAAGCTCAAGTTATCGGTGATCCACACAGCAATCAAACCGCACGCCCACAAGAGCATGGACATGACCAAGCTAAATGTCCACTGGCTGACCGCACATAAGGCGTGGATGTTCTCTACACTGTCCCTCTCCTGGTTTGATGACTGTTTCGTTCCCGATGTGAAGAAATTCTGTGAGCAACAGAATGTGCCATTCAAGATTTTGTTGCTGCTGGACAACGCACCAGAACACTCGCCCCTACTGTTAGATCGTCACCCCAACGTAAAAGTGGTCTTCCTTCCTCCCAACACTACGTCTATATTACAGCCCATGGACCAAGAGTTAATCTGTAATGTAAAAGATGCATTCTCTACTAAAAAATTCAAGCTCCTGAACGACTACACCAACACCAGGGAAGAGTTGCGTAACCTGAGTGACACCAACGCCGATAGCAAGAGCGAAGACAACGAGGATCAACAGTTGGCAGAGCAACAAGTACTTTTAAAACAATTCTGGAGAATATTCAACATCAAGAAAGCTGTGAACTTCTTGGTGGAGGCATGGGATCAGCTGTCTGTAGCAACTGTTCGTCACGCATGGAGACATGTGTTGCAAGGCATTCCGGCCGTTAGGCAGAGTAAATCTGTGACTGGTGAGGTTCAGACTGTTGCAGTAGCAGTGGACCTTGCCAGAGAAGCTGCGCAGAGTGTTACAGCTGCAGGCTTCTCCGAGACCACCAACGACGACATCCTGGAGGTGATAAGGGATCCTGATGTGACTACCGACGAGATGGTAGATGATGATGACGTCAGTGAAGAGGCAGGTGGTGCGTCATCCCAAGAAGAACGCCGCTTATCCCATAGTAATGTTAGGGGTGCCATCGAGTGTATCGAGAAAGTCAAGCTCCTCCTTTCCGACAACCCTGACGCTAACAGGTATGAAATCTTCACTACCCAGCTGTTGCAGACTATGGAGCCCTACATCAAGGTTTATCACGACAACATAAACACCAGCCGTCAGCAAAGCATAACAGAGTTCTTCGCCCGCAACCCACCACAGCCAGCCCAAGCCAGTGATAGTGACAGAGGTAGAGACAGTGATGATGACTTTGAGGGATTTGTCAGGGAGGCCCTGACAAGTGTGGATGACAGTGATGGTGACTCACCTGAGGGCCAGTAGCCTGCCCTCTGCCTCGGAACCAGCCTCCATTCCCGTACGCCGACCCATCTCTTCTACTAACGTAAGTGTTAACCCCAACCTTGTTTTTTTCTAACCTAACCTTCAGTTTATTGACTGTTCCTTTCTATATTATGTGTGGGTGAATACCATCATAAAGTTAAGATGTTATTTTTAGTAAAACGTACGTATTGGTTCGGGAAAAATCGGAGTTTGGGGGTCTGCCCGGTCTCTATTTCAATTAATCCCATATGTTATGTTGTTCACTTTACGCGTTTCTCACTTTACGCGGGCCGCCGTGGGTTGAATTAACCGCTTAAAGTGAGGGTTCACTGTACAGTACTACTTTGTCCTTAAGACAGTGTGTGCATGTAAATGAGTTTCAATAAATGAATAAAGTTACATATATCGAGCCAAAAATAATAATTGAAAAACTTTATGAAGACAGAGCTTGGATGGCTAAATTTTTGAATGACCAATAATTTTAATACTGTATAAAAAAATGCACAAATATTAAAGAGCACAATTTTCTTGATATTTACTCCAATGGAAACGAATGTAAACATAGAAGAGATTACTGAATTAGCTGAGTACCTCCTCAGCTTATCAGCTGATATTCAAAACAAAACGTGATTTTCGTAAGGAATTCGTTAATTTAATTTTTTTTTCGTTAACCGAATTGAAGATTCTTATGGAAGGTAATTCGTTAACCAAGGCGTTCGTTAACCGAGGGACCACTGTACCAAGAAACTGAGAAAAAGTGTAATTTTAATTGTTAAATTAGACATTATAAAACAGCATTATACCAAGGTAACAGAAAAACTGGGAACGAATGGTATTGAGAGGAGCTTGCGCATCCCTTTCAATTGTATTTTATATGTGTACTTCACCCGCGTATATGAGTAGATGCACCGCGTAAAATGAAAATTCCTGTTCTGGCTAGGTACCGCGTAAATCGGGGTATTACTGTACTTGTGTGATCTCTTCCTGCTTTTTTAATTGTTAAAAAAATATGCATGATGAATTTACAAACTTTAATTTTTCTCATAGGGGTGTAAGTGAGACGTGGCAAAATCTGGGCCATGATCCACAACTTTGCGCATCGACAATAAGTCTCCTGACACAGATTTTAGAACGTACTCAACTCTATTCAGAGCAACCTACCACCACTGATGATACTGTCAAGATTGCTACAATCCCACCATTATCAGTAAGGCTCTCTCTTCTTTATCTTTTGATGCTATAACACTTAATATATCTAATGTACCTCAGCCAACTTACATCTGACTACTGTTGTGTCAGGATAAGTTTGCATACTTTAAACATTTTTAGATTGGGTAATAGAACAGTACATTCCAAACAGGAGCCAGATCCAGTCTCAAACTCTAGTTTATTTTATTTATTTTTTATGGAGTGGGAATGGAGAGTGGCATTTGGAGACATTTGCCATATTCCAGATTTTTTTCATTTTTTCCAGTTGGATGGATATGTCTTCCATGCCTGTTGTACAGGCTATTGCTATTTTCACTTAACATCATCGTGATCAGTGTTGTTTCATTTTTATGTATGTAGTCAACCAAAGAAAAAAAAAAGAAAAAAATTTACATCATCTACACCATGGGTAGCCAGGGTTTAGTAAGATGTGAGCTACTTTTTTGTCAGTCAACCTAACACGATCTGCCAACCCAGCCCCCCCCCCTCCCTTTTAAGGGAAAATTTGCATAAATTTAGACTGCCATGTTTACTTTACTGACGTGATGATTTTCACTGCATCATGTCAGCCAAACTTGTGTAGTCTGGATTGTAGGAGCTGATTGCTAGCCTTAAACAGGCATCCGGAGGGTCATCTGACAGAGTTGATCAGTGTTTGGATTTGATGGTTTTCATCTATGAGAAGGTTGACTCACACAGGTAGGTTTATCCCAAAAAAGGCTATCAAGTACATGGTACCTTTCCTTAAATTTAGATACTTTTTCTAAGAGAAGGTTCCAAAAGTTCCCCCTGATGTCCAGCATTTGACTGGAATGTCATTTTTAATGATGAATTTCATTCTAGACTGCAGATATTTCCATGTGAAACAGTGATGCCACTTTTGATGCAGTTTCATCAATATCAATTTCCACACCAAACTGGAAGCACATAAATGTTGCTGTCTCCTAGTGTTGTTACATCTTGAAACTGCCAGGCAAAGTCTGTAGTATTATTTGACAAATGTTCAATGTATCAAATATTTTCAAATAGGTCACATTCTTTCCCCTGACCTAGCTCTGGTATAAAAAAAAAAAAATAATAATTCCACAGCTGGTGTTGCTGCATCTGTGAGGACACCAGTTTTAGTTTTTATCTAAAAGCATTCATAGATATAATAATTTCTGCAATACTCTTGTCATATTTTTGCAGTTAAAAATTTAGTTAATTTAAAATAAAATTGATGTCAATCTAAAATGCTAACTCTAACAGCCACACCTCATCATCCATCTTTTGAGTCTGAGGCAAGAAATGCTTTAATTTCAGCTGACAGATCCCTAAACCTCTATAGGAGTAAATTTACCCCTACTTAGCCATCTGATATTGAGGAGCAGGTTGTGCACAAGCTGTGCAGTTTCACATTTCATTACTTCCTTCAGTGTTATCACAGTCTTCTGTTATCTCTTCTTTAAGAGTTTTGGTTGCCACAAGATGGATGGCTCATCTTCACATTAGCCCCAAGCACAAGTACATTTAGTGTAGGATTCCCTATGTTCTAAAACTTCTAAACCTTAGGCTTTAGAAGGCATATACAGGCAGTCCCCAGGTTACATATGATTTCCATTCCTACTGGCAGTCTTAAGTCGAAACACATACCCTATGTGCATACCGTACTTACAGAATAATGTTTAAAGTCATGTTACTATATCATAGCCCAAGTCCTTATACACCAATTCCCCCATTAACGTCGTTGAAAAAAAGAAATTATGAAAATGATAAATTTATGACAATTTTAAAAATTCTGTATAAAGGTGGTCAGCGCCTGATTTTGATAACAGCTCCCTGTGTAAGCGACCAGTGTGGGCACCATATTTGTTTGTTGTAGTTAAGTGGTTGGTTGATGCTCTTCCAACATTCACTTAAAATTCAATTACAGTATAGTCTCGGTTTACGCGGTCAATTAAACGCGTGGAGGTCCGCGTAAAACGAGAAACGCGTAAACGAAATAACAGAACATATGGGATTAATTGAAACATAGACTGGGCCGACCGCCAGACTACCCTTTTTCAGACACAATACTGTACGTTGTAGTAAAAATAACATCTTAATTTTATGATGGTATGCACACACAATTAATATTTAAGAGAAATATCAATAATATTAGGTTTTTTAACACTTACGTTAGTAGAAGAGATGGCTGGGCACACGGGGATGGGGGGTTGGTTCCGAGGCAGAGGGCAGATTATTGGCCCTCACCTGTATCACTTGTATCACCTGCATCACTATCCACCACAGAGGCTTGCAGGGCCTTTTTGTCAAACCCCTCAAAGTCCATATCCTCACTATCACTGACTTGGGCTGGCTGTGGTGGGTGGCGGGTGAAGAACTCGGTATTGTTTTGTTGACTGGGCGACCTAGTGTGCACCCTGCCCGCGCCGCTTCCTGCGTAGATGATGGAATGTACCGCGTAACTAATAATTGCCGGTCTGGCCAGGTGCCGCGTAAATGACCGAATGCGTAAAGGAAATCTGCGTAAATCGAGACTATACTGTATATACATTTATTTGAGCCCTAGAACAATGAGTGCTAAATGTGCATTGTGCACCACTACAGCTTGTAGTCACAGAAAGAGGAAAGGTGTTACATTAGAAGTTAAATTAGATGTGGTAAAAAGATTTGAAGGACAGCGAACTGTGGGCATAGCAAGAGCTGTCAGTTTGCAGCCTACAACTGTTGGTAAGAACAATTTGTGGAAATGCAGAAAATATCAAATCATATACTAAAAGTGTTACTCCATTATCTGCTACAAAGTTAACTCGTAATAGAAATGGCATTATGGAAAATATGGAAAGAATGCTGAACATGTGGATTGAGGATCAACATTAACAAAACTTTCCATGTTCATAGGTCTCTATACAGGTGAAAGCTCTTAAGTTTATTTGAAACTTTAAAACAAGAAGGTGATAGTACTGAAAGTGAAACATTTGTGGTAAGTTGTGAGAAAATTTTTACCAGAAATGTATCCAAGGAACATATCCCCTATTGATATCATTGTGTCTAGTGTAAAATCGTTTTCACTTAACGTCATTTCACTTAAGTTCGTGGTTTTCAGGAACCTAACAACAATGTTAATGGACATTTGGTGTATACATCAAAAATCACTTAATTCAAGAGAAAAGGAGAAATAGAAAGACAAAATACAGTAAATTAAAGTAAAAAATAAGTCATCAGGTAAAGGTAGTCGGTAGTAAACAGCTATCAAACAGGGAGGTACTACCATCAGGGAAGATATTGGAATCATAATGGTGTTGTCTAATGTTCCTGGGTGGGCAACTCCCCCCCCCCCCAACAAAAAAAATAAAAAAAAATAATATATATATATATATATACAGTTAACCCTCACTTTACGCGGTTAATGTAACCCGGAGGGTACCGCGGAAAGTGAGAAACGCGTCAAGTGAATAACATAACATATGGGATTAATTGAAATGGAGTCCGGGCCGATCCCCAAACTCCACTTTTTGACGACACACAACTATGTTGTAGTAAAAATATTATCTTAACTTTATGATGGTATGCACACACAATTAATAATTAAGAGAAATATCAATAATATTAGGTTTTTTAACACTTACATTAGTAGAAAAAATGGCTGGGCACACGGGGATGGGCGGTTGGTTCCGAGGCAGAGGGCAGATTATTGGCCCTCACCTGTGTCACTTGTATCAATTGTATCACTATCCACCACAGAGGCTTGCAGGGCCTCTTTGTCAAACTCCCCAAAGTCCATATAAGTCCATATCCTCACCATAATTATCACTATCACTGACTTGGGCCGGCTGTGGTGGGTGGGGGGTGAAGAACTGGTAATGTTTTGATGACTGGGCGACCTTGTGCGCACCATGTTCGCGCAGCTTACACAACATGGCGGATGGCGGGAGGTTTGGATCCAAAAATGGCGCGGCTCGCCAGCCACTCTCCGCGTAAAGGGGTACACGCACCGCGGAATGTGAGCATCCTGGGTTCCGGCAGGGCACCGCGTAAACGTGGAAACGCGGAATGTGGGACCGCGTAAAGTGAGGGTTAACTGTATACTGTATATACAGTAGTACCCCGATTTTACGCGGTCAATTGAACCCACAGGGTACCGCGGAAAGTGAAAACCGCGTAAAGTGAACAACAGAACATATGGGATTAATTCCAATAGAGACTGGCCCGACCCCCAAATTCCACTTTTTCCGACACAATACCTATGTTGTAGTAAAAATAACATCTAAATTTTATGATGGTATGCTCACACAATTAATATTTAAGAGAAATACAGTCGCCAGGTTAATGTCCATTCAAATAATGGACTCAAATCCCCCCCCCTCTTCCCAGCTCACTAGCTCCTACCTCTCTGAGAAATGTTTGGGTGAAAACACTAGATTTTAACGTTTAGTAATAAATAATACGTTAGACTAAAGTTAGGATAATATAATTGACATTTCTGGATTCCTTGCAGGTCAGGGAATATTTTGAATGTAAACTTCATATATTTTCCACAAAAGATAAAATATTTGCTTTGTGTAAACCAAATTATTACATTAGATCTAAAATTTGTATGTCTAATGCAAAATCCATGATGTTTATATTCAAAATGATCATCATATTGTAAGAATTCCAGCAATGTAAATTATATTCTGGCCGGGTAATTTGTATGAATTTTATGAGCTAAATAAAAAAAATATATATATACTTCAACCACGTATATGAGTAGATGCACCGCGATAAGTGAAAGTCCGGTTCTGGCAAGGTACCTGCGTAACTTGGTAAGAAAATCGCGTAATAGAAATAACAGGGCTTATGGAGAAAATAGGGTTAGGTGCAGATTACTCGAAATCGAAAAAATTTAGTAGTTAGCCTAACACAAAGGATAGCACAGTCTAAATAAATGTTACATTCATATCTAATAATGAAATCATACAGTAAATTTAACACTTTACCTTGAAAAAATATGAATGTAACTTGATGGGGGAGAAGGGTGATTTTGAGGTTGATAACATCAAGCTTCTCTTCAAGTGTTATATCCTTTCTTTTACGATAATCACCGGGAATTCTATCATCAGAATGATTTTTGGAGATATTCTTCTTTACCATATTCACAGTTAATACCACAAAATTGGAGAAATAGTAAGCAAAAATCGCGTTATAGCAAACAAGCGATCGCGTTATACAAATATTGTTCCGAATTCATAAATCGCGTTAGAGCAAATTCGCGTTATCAAAACACGCGTTATAGCAGAACTCACTGTACCTCGTAAATGGTATGAGAAATAACGTAAAGTGAAACCTTGTAAAGCAGGGTAATACTGTATATATATATATATATATATATATATATATATATATATATATATATATATATATATATATATATATATATATATATATATATATATATATATATATATATATATATATATATATATATATATATATATATATATATATATATATATATATATATATATATATATATATATATATATATATATATATATATATGCAAGTAAATCACTGTAGGTGCGCGTGATCTAGGTACATGCTGGTAACCACAAGGAAAGAAGAAAACACGAAGTTCCCAAGCGCTTTCGTGTAATTCACATCTTCAGGGGTGAGTACAGACTAGAGAGAGTAATACAAATCAAGGTGTATATATACAGAGGAGGGTGAGACCAGGTCCACAATGGTCAGGTATTAGGTAATGACCCTACTAATCTTTAAATAGCACACAACGGTTGGTGGTCAGGTCAGAGGGTAAGGTGACCCAACTTACTCACCTGGTTACAAATCATCTTAATTACAAAATTGTCCAGTTTGTACAGGCCATTACTCAAATTCATGTTGAATGCTTCGGTATGTTTAATGAGACTAGATTCTATGATGTTCCTACTGTCAATTGAATTACAAGGTAATATTGAGGAGGCATTATCCCAGTCAATGCAATGCTTGTTATCCCTCAAATGAACAAACAGAGCATTGGATTCCTGGCCTGTCCTAACACTGTATTTGTGTTGTTTAATTCTAGTTGCAAGATCTTTACCTGTCTGGCCTAAGTAAAACATATTACAATCCTTGCAAGGAACTTTATAAATGCAACCAATTATGTTGTTGAGGGAGTTCTTGATTAACAGTTGTTTAACAGTGCATGAGTTTTTAAATGCCACATTGACGTTCCAGGTTTTTAGTTGTGAAGGAATGTGTGAGAAATTTTTGTGAAATGGTTATATTAAGATATTCTTATGGTCATTGTCTGCCCTTGCCTGCCTGGATATTTTAATCGGCCGTTGAACAATATTCCCTCTTTAAAGAACACAGAGAGGGCTGTTAGTAAATTAGTAGCAGTCTGAGTAGTTGTTTGCATCCTCCCCTCATTCATGTACTACAGTGGGGAAATTTACTTTAATATCTCCTTTTTTACAGGCTGTGTGTGGCCTATGTGAACTGATGCATGACTTGAGAGTACACACTGAAACAGAACACGAGGAGGAGGACTGGGAGAAAGTTGAGTGTGGTGAAAAAGTAGAAGTAACCCAATCTTGGCCTGACTCTCAGCAGATCATGAGTGACAACTTCCCATCATTAGCAGCATTACTTTTGCTCTCATATGGCTCTTATGTTGGAGTGGTCGCCCCCCTTCATCAGACAGCCACTGCAAACTCCAAAAGTGCCTTTAATTTTGTACCTAATAGAGGTGCAACAACTCTTGTTCCTACTAAGTATGTTCCAATCTTTATGTACAGTCTCGTTCAAGATTCTTCGAACACTGCTGGAGACAGCTGGCAACTCATGGCCGTTTGTTTACTACTGTATACTGTAGTACGTAGTAAAAATTATGAATTAATGTAAAAGTGATCTGTGATTGGTTACCTAGTTCCCCATTGCTTAATTTAATGGTTGGGCTTTGTTGTGTCGTATTATATTATACTACAGGTACGTACTATATAGTAAGCAAACAGCCTTGAGTTGCCTGCTGTCCCCAGCAGTGTTCGAAGAATCATGAACGAGACTGTACATGTGCATAACACTATTAAGGTTTTTTGTATTCTTTTTATTTATATTGAATGTGATAAATTAATGAGTCATCCAATTCATCACCTTGATGTAAAGCATAATAGCTTTTATGAAACATTCCACTGAATCTATTCATGCAACATTCATCAATGAAACTGATTGTATGCAATCAAGGTGATTCAGGTGGACCAAAAACACAGATTAACTACTTTGTCAGGAAATCTGATAAGAATCTTGTTAGGAATACATAGATTATAGCAATGGAAGAATGTGCCTTGAAGCATAGATTGGTTGTGTGTGACATGTTGTTGAAAAGATACAAAGAAAGGAAGGTGCATGTTTCGATAAGGAGAGCATGGAAAGTGAAAGAACAGAATGTAAAAGAAGCATTTTATATTGAGTTGAGAAATCTGGAAACATACAGTGACGGTGAGAGGGGTAGTATGAGATGCTGGGCCAAAATAAAGGATGTTTTAGTAAGCAAAGCTGACAAGATATATGGCTGGACAGTAACTTGGTGGTGGAATGATGGAGTAGACAGAGAGGTAAAGGAGAAAAGAAGATTTTATACAACATGGAAAATGGGTGATGGCAAGGAAGGGGTACCTGGAGGCCAAATGGCCAAGCATAGGGCCAGAAGAGAGGTTTACAAGGCTAAGAAGCAAGAACAGGACATATTTCTGGTTATATTGAATATAAGTAGTGCAGATGCAAGAGAAGAGGTATTCAAAATAGCCAGGCAAATAGTGGGTAGAAAAAAGGATGTTGTTGATGAGCAGTGCACGTGAGAAATATTTTTTCTGTTTTTGAAAAAAATCTCAGAACCCTTTGTTTAATGTAAATATAATTTTTCTTCCTTCAAAAAAAAATTAGACATATTTTGTTCAAAGTTTTGCATATGATTAAGTTAAGTATAGTTGCCTCTACATGAATGTACCACAGCTTGGGAGTATGCGAGGGCTCAGGTAGGAGATGTGGCAATGCAGCGCCATAGTCAGGGCTGAATGAATGGGCGTGAAACAGTGAAATTACCCTGTTTGTAATAAGATACAAATAATAAAGGAGATAAATTGATAAACAAACCCTTTAATACATGCTATGCAGTATTGTTGTGTAGCCACAACTGAGTGACTAAGACTGAACTACGGGGAACTGGCAAACAGGGTAATCCATGGTTTCATGCCGATGACAACTGTACTGCGATGCCAATTCTTGTAAATGCGCCCCCACACACACCTAGGCTGTGGTATGTTCATGTGGAGACAACTGTACATTACCTTTGAATTGAGAAAAATGTCAAAGAATGTAACCCCAACCAATAGCATTAAAGATAGGGTTATTTTGGCATGGTAACGTGACTGAAATACTGTACTGTATGTTCCAGAACATTCTCACCCTAGTTTTATTTGATTTCTTACCAACAACACATGCTAACCTTGTCTCCGAGTTGATTCCTTCCAGCTTCACAGTAAGAATACTGCAACAGTATCTCAGTTTCTAACCTTAAGATATCATATTCACTTGCATACTGACTTGAGGAGTAATTGCAGATAAGAAAAGAAAATATTGTGTGAAGGTAGAAGGACAGCTATCATGGGATTTTGAAGGGGATTATTCATCTTGATACTATCAGATAAAGCAGCATCTATTTTTGCTCATACTGTTGTACTGTTGGATAAAACAAAATAATCAGTCACAATTCACAATCCTGTACCCTATACAGTACTGTACATTGTAAACACAGCCAGGTTTGGCCATGTTGGGCCAGAAATACCAAAATAAAACAAAAATAAATGGAACGCAACAAGTGAAGAGCATTTATAGGTGTGTGGCGAGTGGCAGGCTCAACACAGTCCAATGTACTTATCACCGAATATCCAATACTAATTATAAAAAGTACATACTGTAACATTAATCGTGCAAACCTTAAACATATGTTAAGCTGGCACTGACCATATTATATCTTTTCTTTAGGAATTATTTTAAGGTAAGTCATTCAAAAGGTAGGTTTTAGGAGACTGAAAATGGTATTTGCAAATTTGGCTGTTTGTGAGGCAATCTGGAACATATCCATTACGAATAAAAAGAGATAAATATATTAACATTATCCATATGGGTAGTGCATCCTGCTGTGAAACATACTGTATATGCTTCTTAATTAATGGCAGACTGTGCCTGAGACTAATTGTAAGTTTTTATATTGTAGATCAATCATTGATACTTCCTTAGATAGAATTGGAGTTTCACATATTACTTTTCCATTACTTTATTTAGATTGAATAAGCTACAACTTCTAGAAGGATTAAGCATTTGATAAAGACATATAAATAATGGATATTTAGACCAGCTATGACACTAAGGAACTAACTCTTTTTTATTTTATTTTTCAGAGTTGTCCTTCGTTGTTTTCAGTCATTAGTGAATATCATAGACTGCAAGTCGCTCAGTACTGCATTGGTATCAAAGATCAGAGATGAAAACGATGAAACTCTTGAGATGTTTCTGCATACCATCTCTGAAATCACAGCGTAAGTACAATACTTTCTCCCTAGTTATTAGATTTTTTCCTGGTTTGGATAGGTATACAGTAATTTCATATCTTTCATAAAGTATTGAAATACTATATAAATTTCTAAACCCTGCATAAATTTATCATTCACGAATATTGTTGTACGTATAGAATAGGGAGGTTATTTGACAGAGGAGAATGAACTCACCAGTTGTACCAGTCCTAATTTCACTTTGCCTATCCTTTCCTAAAGCGTCGTTCAGCCTAAACTGTTTAGTAAGGACTTAGCTGTGAGTTGGAAGTGGGATCAGGAGCCAGTGAGCAAATGCAGAAGTGATGTTTTCTGATATGTGCCTGGGTCTATTTTAGGCAGACACTCGACCAAGAGAGAGAGATTAGTGACAGAACTCAGACTCTCATGAAGTTATAAACAAAATGGATGGCTCTCTATTGAATATTAAACTTAATGTATGATTGGGACAAATTATATACACCAGAGCCTCAGCATTCGCAAGAGATAGGTTCCTGGGACACTCGCAAATGTAAAATTTAAAAAATAACATTCTTTAATACCTTATTTTTAATATCATACCTTAAATTAGGGACCGAAGGCAAAAAATAAATAAAAAATCATGAATTGGTAAAAAAAAATAACTTAAGCCTATGTGTTAAGAAAAAGAAATTAAATGAAAAAGCAAGTGAATGTGGTGTGATGTTACGCAAGTCAACTAGATCGCAGAAGCAGTGACACATCGTCTGCGGCCTGCCCCAACACAGCCCGTGCCACCACCACCACGCTATCAGCACACACACACACACACAAATGCACGCCTGACATGTAATGCTGTGAATGAAACATGCATATATTCTGAATATTAGTTTTTCTTTAACAAATTTATGACTGGGAAAAATACATAAACTATCCCAGATATTTAGATTTTCTTCCCTCATAATAACCGGCTGTAGAGGCCTCATTAATGGTACTGAAGATATTACTGCTCCTACTTTAAGACTTCTGGACTGGGATCATCCAGAATATCTGTTGTAGGGCTGGCAGGTGAAGATATGTGATGCAGATGATACTAGGTTGGTTGGTGAGGAGGGAGACAAGAGTGGAAGGAGGGGGAAGGCTAGATATCAGTATTAAAAACATTGTTATTGGCAAAACATTCTCATTATTCAGTTTTACTTTGATGGTTAGCTCCATTGTTGGGTCATAGTCATAAATTTTTTCTGTTAAATTTTTGGCACACCTGAATATATCTGCCATCTTAAGTAGTCCAGCTATTGTCTTCAGTATTTCCATCCTCATTATCATCCTCGTCTTCCTCACTCATGGCAAGCTCCTCTAGGTAGTCCTCACTCAGTTCCTCTCCTGATGTCTCAAGGATATCCTCAATTTCTTCCGTGGCTCAGTCAGCAAAACCTTCCCCTCCAACTTCGTGTGCCAGCCTCACAATTTTTGTAACTTCACCACCAACAGAAGAGAACCCTGTAAAGTCAATCCCCTGTGGAGTCAATCACAGATTCTTTCCCCCCCAAAAATTACCAACACACATTGACAGCCACTGCTTTCAATTTGACTTGGGATTCTTTGATGTTTATGCAGTTGGCGATGTTATGATCTTTCCAACATTTATGCACATAAAGGTTCTGATTCTCGTCCATCGCCTGACTGACCCTGCCAAAGGTATGATGAATGTCATGTGCTTTGAACATTGATATCAAGGATAAAATACTCGTAAGAATAGTTCACCAAGCACTACTTTACCCACAATGCACAGCTCGGTGAAGTCACTGTTGTAAACACGCATCATCTGGTGACCGTGTGTGCCCGCATCTACTCTCTGGACCTGTGTATCAACAATTATGGTTATTTGTGCAATATGCAGTGTGCACCCAAGCAGAGAGTACATCAAGGATTACAGATTTCCCAGAGATAAGAAAATTTGTGATAAACGGATAAATGCCTGCAAGAGCTCTGATAAAATAAACACCACATGAAGCTTGCCGAGAACTTGTTTGACGAGAGTTCATATTTCTTTTGTATCTCCTTAATTATGGGATGTCTGTCAATATTTTCTTAAGTACATTGATGGCAATATCTAGTTGTCCAGGGTATAAGAAAATCTTTCTATTGCTAATAAGCTAAAAAATTTAGTTGCTTCATCCATGTCAGCAAAATACCTTGCAACCCCGATATCTCAATGTAATTTTTTTCCTATATCACTTAATTTTTGGTGGACTATGAGAACATAAGGCATTCGTTTTGTTAACCAGGCAACAGAAAAGCCTTAGCCCTACACGTACTGTGTTCTCAAAAAATGTAACGATCAAACATCAACCAAGGCAAGGCCATCACCACCTTGTGGATGCCCCCAAGTCGTCAGATGACGTGCATTGCTAGCGTAACATCATTGAACAACGGCAGAGCTAATGTTTATGATGTTACAGCAATCTGTCCTTACTCTTTTCAGTCCTTGATTGATATAGCACCCTGGTCAGGAGGCTGGATTAAAGAAGTTGTGTTGGGGGGCAGAAACAACACCTTAACATTAGGATGGTCAGGAGCATTGTTAATGATGAGGAGAACCTTGAATTCCTGCCCTTTCTTCTCCAGGTACTTTTCCACTTCATGTACAAAACAGTTATGGAACCAGTCCATAAATAGTTGTCCCATCATTCTGGCTTTCTTATTTGACCTATAAAACACAGGAAGACATTGCCTGTCCTTTCTCTTAGTGCCCTGGGAAAGGACATAGGCTTTAACATAAAGCCTGGTGCATTCCTGCACATAAGGAGTGCAACCTGATCTTTTTTGCTTTAAAACCTGAGGCCCTCTCTTCTTCCTGAGCGATATATGTGCTTGTAAGCATCGACTTGTATCATAAAGAAGAGAAGTCTCATCTGTGTTGAACATTTGCTCAGGCGTATAATCATTTTCATCTACTACAGTCTTCAACACAGCTGAGTTGAGTATGCAACTGCCGCCATGTGGTCCGCAGCTGCTGCCTCACCTCTGAGTCTTCCATTGTGCAGGGAATATCTTTTCTTAAACTTGTCAAATCAGCCCTTACTTCCTTGGAAAGGTGTAGAACCGAATCCTGCATCCTGTCTGAAACATTCACAAAGACTTACAGCTTTATCATGAATAACCTTTTTGTCAACTGGCACATTTCTCTGACTCATGTCTTTAATCCATACCTTTATCACTTATATGATGCATAACTTTGGCACTTTTGAGGCACTATGACCAACTCTACTTCTAATTTACTTGCCTTTCATCTTGATGGAACGAACGGTTGGCTCATTCCCTCAAAACGCACAGCCAACAGCTGAAGCTCTCATGCCACTAGTGAATTTATCCAGCACTTAAATTTTCTGTGTAAGAGTCATCACTATCTTCACTCTTTTTGCACTGGATGCAATACCACCAGTTTATGGCCTTTTGGGAGCCATGACAAAGTTACCGGGTAATTAAAGTTAGAATTGCTCAGGAGGAAAGAGAATGAGTAAGAATTCCCACAGCCTGGCAACAGCAGAGATAACTCAGACAAGAATTGCAGGAGAAACTAGGAAAACACCACAGTGTGGGAAGCGGCAGGACGCCATGACTTCGCATCATGGTGGATGCCCACTGTTTTAAAATAAGCACCAAACCTTTTTATGTTGTTTTAACAGACATAAACCTCTGAGGCTCCTTTGTGAATAGTAGAATGTGCAAAAGTTAAATTTGCACATGTTGAGGTTCCGGTGTATATAATAACCATCAGAATGTCCCAATTTGATTATCAAGGAAATAAGTAAATTAATTTTAGGTTTGTAAGTACTGTAAGCAGGAATACCTCGCTATTTGCAACCCTGCTTATCTGCAATTGATATTTTAACACCAATATTCGATATTTTGCAAAGCATGCCCCGCTTATTTCCAAATGAAAAGTTATAATAACCTTTAGTAATATTTCAAACCGGGCAGGCTAGCCGCAGCTCTCATATTCTGATGTAAGGCCAGCTTCGCTATAACATAGACGGTGTTCTGCTTACTTTATTTGGTCATGTACAGACACTGTTGTTTAACCCTTAAAGGTCTGACAGATCTTGGGAAGTCTCCCTTCAGAAACTGATTACAGTAATATCTCTGTGAGCCGGAATCCCTCAAACCCGGAAATCTCCGATAGCCGGAATTGAAATTTGCTCGGAAAATCATTTCCAAAGCCGGAATTTTCCAAAAATTTCCGGCTTTAGGAACAAATTTTCCAAGGTTGAAAATCGAGAGAATTATCTGAAAATGTCTTGAATAAAGATGAAAGTTATTATTTATTATTTTTTTTTTTGGGGGGTTACCTGACCTGACCTGACTCAATGTCAGGTGGAGGTAGGGTGGGGGATTAGTGGTCTCGTATTACCAGTGGTGTAGTGCTGTGGGAACGCGTGGGAACGGCGTTCCCTTACTTTGTTTGGGAGTGGGAACGGCGTTCCCTTACTTTGTTTGGGAGGGGGAACGGCGTTTCCTCACTATTTCAAATAAATCCAAACGTACAATGCTCTAATGTAATGAAAGTTTTTATTTCCACCCCTAAAAGAAATATGAGAAAGAATCATTAACTCTTTCAGTTCTTTTTGCTTCAACTAAGCCTATAAACTTTGAGGCATTGTGATTTTGCGGCATCATCGCATTACTTAATTATAAAAAACTCACAAAAATAATAGCCGCTCCCTCCCATTTCTTACAGGCCGGCAGCCGCTCCCCTCACTTGGACATTAGTGTTCTCAGTTGCCATATACCTTAAATCTGGTAAAATATAAAAAATAGTTTGAGTCTTATTTTAGTTTGTCTGTTTTATATATTTTTAAGTTAATTTATTCTAATTCGTTGGTATAATATTTTAAATAATGTGCATTCCGAAAAATCTGGCATACTCAGCATTGTTCAGCGCATTGTGCTGATGCTGCTGCAGACCTGCAGTGCTGAGTGAGAATGCCAGTTTAGTTGCTCACCAAGTCACCTAGAAAACACAC